AAAAAAAAAAAAGGAGTAAGAAAAAGAATATACTCACTGTGCTTTAAACTGCTTTTGAAAATAATTTAATTAATTATCTTTTAAAATTTTCGGGGCATACCTAAGATCCTCCCACAGCACACCAGTGCGCACTGGTTGAAAATAACTGGTCTAGAGTATCCAGAGTATAGAAAATTCTATCCCCAGCGGGGGCCCTACCATTTTGATCAGTGTGGGCAATTTAAGAGAAGCATCAGAATGTGTTAGACAATATTAAAAGGGCACATCCTTTTCCAAATATGATTTCTATTGTAATGTATATTTTTATTATAGGGAAGACAGCCAGTGATTAAAATAAAAATGATCACATTAGAATTGAAAGAAAATTAAAAAAAGAAATTTTAGGTGAAATTCGGAATTTTGAAAAATAGGAGAGTATTAATTCTTATTTCGTTTCTACCATGCCACTCTATGAGATATTCTTTCCTGGCATGTCCAGATAATCAGAATACTTAGGATTTAAAATTCAGGCATACCATTACACAAACATCACGGAGTTTGTGATGAGTACAGTGGCATCGTTCTCCGCACAATTAGATCTTATCATATTTAGAAGGTTCTAATACTACATGATGGAGGCAGAAAACAGAGTAATCACGGTTGGCAGAAATTTTAAATTGTCATAGTTCAGTATCCAGAAAAATATTCTTAGTAAGTAGTATCAAATGAGTAAATTACCAAACAGATAAAACTAAATGAAGAGCTGGAATGCTTTTTTTAAGATATAATTTTAGAATTATTGGGGGAAAACCAAGATGAAAACAATACAGGTAACTCAGAAAAAATTCTGTCTTACTGTAACCTACATGATAATATAAAAGTTGCGGGGGGAGAGAAAGGTTTTAGCAACAAATTTTAAAGCACAGAGCAGATTATTACATCAAAAAAGCCTCCTTTAGCAGCAAAGTGAGCAGCGTTATGTCTGTCATTGTCAAATGCATTCACTTCACCTCCTCTCTCCAATATGCCTCGGACCAGTTCCAACACTCCTTCTCTTGCCGCTTCCATTAACACCGTGCGGCCTGTGGACTGGATGTGAAAGAGATCAGATGCTATTTATACCTGCATATTAAGTAACACGCTCAGTATAATGTACAATGAACCCGTCTGACCTTAACTTTACCCTTACACATTTATTTCTCTACATTTTTCTTTCTTTCCTATAACAAAAAGGAGCAATTAAACGAGTACAGTGGGTCCATTTCCAAAATGTTGACTTCTCCAGTCAGAGCCAAGGTCATACCACATACACCATGACAATACCAAGCTTTAAAAAGAAATGCATTTCTTGCGAAGAAAGCAGAGCAAAAATGGAGAGAAAGGGGAAAAATACAAAAACATTATATAGTTAGGTAACAGGTGGTTTCTACTGAGAAGAAAGTATATTTGATGAGTCTGGAAAACAGAATTATAAGAAAAGAAAAAACTCAATAAAATCAAACAAATATGGAGAGAGCACAAAATGTATCAGAGAAATAGCAGAACTATCTATAAAAGATAAACTTTTTTAGGCAACACTAATCCCTTTCCGACTATTTCCTATAATAATACTTTGATATTAGCCTTTGATATATAATAAACGCCAATTTTCCAGACATAGTTAGGAAATAGACTACACATTCATGGCAGTAGAAAGATAGCAAAAGTATGCCGTCTTCAAGCATTTTGAGTCAAAATGAACATTCCGTAAGCTAACAGGATAACATTACCGGATTTAAATGCAAAAGTGATACTAACACTACTTTATAATTGAAAAGAGAAATTATTATGATCACAGGAATAGTCATACTGAGTAGATAGCATTGGGATTGGCTCCTTTTTCCAAGAATGTCAGGCAGACATCTTTAACATCATGTGCGGTTTCACAAGCTGTAAGGAATACTGGTTTTCCATCAAAGGTACAATTGTTGACATCTGCACCATATTCAAGGGCAATCAGAGCACAGCGATAGTGCCGCTTCGTAGGTAAAATGCAGTAAAACAAAATACCTGCAGAAAAACAGAATCCCCGAAGAGTACTTAATTAACAGTCCATATATTTTTTAATCTAATAGGAAGGAAAAAATATTATTTAAACATCCGTATTTATAGCCAAAGATGGCAGAGCAAATGCTTTTCTGCCTTGGTTCCTCCTAGACACCAATTAAAACACTAAAACAGGAAACAAAAACTAAACAAAACAACAACAACAACTCAGTTTTTGATAGAATTGGAAAAGTCACAACCAAATGTGATAGGACCTGGTTTGGGGAGCAGCTAGCGTGCTGCTCTGTGTGTCTTTGTTGACCTTCAGTATTTGGCATCTAGCAGTCCAGACTCCAAGAGCCCCTTCAGGGGATGTGCAGGGCTACGTGTGCTAAAGGGCTGCTGGTGGGTCTCTGGGTCCCCTCTAAAACTGTAGAGTGGCAAAAGAGATGGCACTGGATGGCAAAGCGTGCAGACAAGTCGTGTCTATAAGAAGCAGGCCGTCAGCATAGCGGCAATGACAGGAAGAACTAGATGGTAAGGGCTTTGCCATGTTGGCAAACCATTTTGTTCCACTGAAGAGAGAAAATGCTAAATCCTCACACCCAGGACCTGTAACATATAGACCCACAACATAATTCATGTCACAATGCACTACACAACAGGGGTATTGTTATATTCATAGGGCAAAGTAAGAAAGTCCTGGATAAACAATAGTCAGACTCCAAACTGAGTTTGTAATGAATTCACTTCACAAAGTGAGTTTATTCAAAGAGGAACTTTACCAAAATGAAACCAGCATGTGACCCATGAAAATGATACTGCAAGAAAAAAAAAAGAAAATTAGATAATGAAAGCTAGGCAAAATAAATAAATACATACATACTAGAAAAACTATACCAATGAAAATCATTAACTGATCCATTTCCATGACAGTAAAGAAATTAAATATAATGTGTTCTAAAACAAAAGTGCAAAATAGGCCAAGACCTAAAACAAGGACAGATGGATGGAGAAGTGAAGAAAAAGATGAAATGGAGCCTGTGGAACTCAGGAGAGAAACGGTAGAGAAAAACAAAACCATTCAAGAAATAAAAGTCACCCGGAAGCACAAAAGGGGGAGCAGATTCTGCCAAAACCATAGTCAGAAGGAAAACTTTAAAAAATTAGAAAAATGTAATTGAAATGATGGAAGAGTCTAAATCAGTGGTTCTCAACCTGTGGGTCATGACCCCTTTGGTTGTCAAACGACCCTTTCACAGGGGTCACCTAAGACCATCCTGCATATCAGATATTTACATTACGATTCATAGCAGTCACAAAATTACAGTTATGAAGTAGCAACAAAACTAATTTTATGATTGGAGGTAACCACAACATGAGGAACTGTATTAAAGGGTTGCGCATTAGGAAGATTGAGAACCACTGAACTCCAAAAGGTCTATAGTAGTAAAGATTTAACATACATGTAACGGGTGTTCAATTAAAAATAGATGAAATGAAACAGAAAAAATATAGAGAGATACAATGGGAAAAAATGTTCTCAAAGTGAAATGCTGAATCTAAAGATGAAAAGAGCACCCTGGGTGTTAGGAAAAGCCGATTAAGAACAATTAATAAGATGAACCTAGGTAAAGCCAGGTAAAGAAATTGTACGGTGAGAATCCAGGCAAAAGTCAACTAATTTATACAGGGGGAAAAGTCAGGCTGCCCTCAAGAGTTTATCACAGCAAAATTCAATGCTAGAAAACAATGAAAGGTTCTCCGCAATGTCACTGGGGAAAGAAAATAAGAAATTTTTGTGTCTTATTTTTAATCAAGCTGTTGTTCAGATATAAAAGTGACAACCATTTGTACAGTTAAGGACACAAGAAATCAAGGCTATAAGCCCAAAGAAATGAGCTAAACTACGATCGACAGAGAATATGTGACTAAATGTACAGACAGATGCTAAATATCTTCAACCATAGATCTAAAGTTGAATCACCTCTGTAACTTTGGATACAGAAAAAACCTTTATAATTCATAATCATGTAATTTCAGAAAAATTTGGAGGGAAAGGGAAGGAAGGGGAGACAATATAGGCATTTGATTTTCTCATCTTACTGCTGCAGATTGATATTTATTAAAGGAAATAAAGGGATAAAGTAAATAACAGGCATATATTATTTAAATGGATGAAGGGAATCAATGAAAGAACTAAGTGATTCTAACTGACTATAAAATTGGGTGGTAGGAGGAAGGCAGAAGAGGTGAGAAGAAGGGTTATTGTCCTAATCTCATCTTTCACACTAAAGAATCAGTGAATATTGTTTAAGGTGCTAACTCAGGAAACCGAGGTTGAAGAGTAGGCGCAACTATCAAGATAACCATTAACAGAATTAAAAAATAGCCCACTAATTTTGGGAAATACTACTAGAAGGAAAATACATATAGGAAAATAAAGCCAAGAAGTCTATGAAATGTAGACAATATTTTGCAATATGTTTTTATATATTAACTATATTATTCCTTCATGGTGTAAAATAAATAGCAGTTCTGAAGCCAAACCTATGGGGCATCTAGATAAATATAAATTGGATTAATTCCACCACCCAAATAAAAATATGTAATTTATATAAAAATCAAACTCTAAATATATTTCATATAAACAGATATACCTAAAACAGGGTAACTCTGAACAGTTGCCCACCCCTGCCCCCCATAAAGGTCAAGGATATAATTGAAAACAGAAGTTGTAGGATGCTTTTTCTGATTCTATTGAGATATTCACATGTTTTTGTTTTGTTTAATGTAGGGAATAACATTTATTGATTTACACATGTTGAACCATCCTTGTATCCCTGGGATGAAACCCTCTTGGTCTTTGTGGATTATCTTTTTTGATGTGCTGTTGAATTCAGTTTGCTAATATTTTATTAAGAATTTTTGCATTTATATTCATAAGGGATTTTGGTCTGTAATTTTCTTTTTTTGTTGTTGTTGTGCCCTTTTCTGGTATCAAGGTGATACTGGCTTCACAGAATTAATTGGGGAGGATTCCCTCCTTCTCAAAATTATGGAGTAATTTCTGTATTATGAGTACTAGGTATTTTTTGTAGGTCAGATAGAATTTGGCTATGACTCTATCTGGTCCAGAGGGATTTTTTCTGCTGTTACGGAGATATTTTATTACTGTTTCAATCCCACTGTCTGTGATTGGCCTGTTGAGGAGTTCTATTTCTTCTTTGTTGAATCTTGATTGTGCATTCCCAGGATCCTATTCAATCTCCTCTACATTCTCTAGTTTATGTGCATAGAGATTTATGTAGTATTCATGCACGATGTTTTGTATTTCTGTGGTATCAGTTGTAATGTCACTGTTTTCATTTCTGATTGAGCTGAATTGTGTCCTTTTTCTTTTGTTCCTGGTTAATCTAGCAAGAGGTCTGCCAATTTTGTTTGTCTTTTCAAAGAGCCAATGTTTTCTTTCATTAATCTTTTGTATTTTTTGTTTTCCACTTCATTTAGTTTTGCCTTGACCTTCATTATTTCTTTCCTTCTTCTGGCTTTGGGTTTGACTGGTTCTTTCTTTTCTAGTTCCTTAACATTAAGTTGCTGATGTGCAATCTTTCTGATATAGGCATTCAGGCTATGGATTTTCTCCTGAGGACTATTTTTGTTGTGTCCCATGGATTTTCATAGGCTTGTGTCCCCTTTGTCATTCAAAGAGTTTTCTTGATCTCCATCTTTACTTCTTTCTTGACCCAATAATTGTTCAGCAGCAGGCTATTTAATTTCCATGACTTTATGTAGGCTTGAGTTGTTCCTCTTGTGATTGTTTTCTAGTTTTATTGTGCTGTGGTCTGATAAGGTTCATATGTGATTTCGATTTCTTTGCATTTGTCAACACCTATTTGTGGCCTAAGGTATGATCCATCAATCCTAAAGAATGTGTATTCTGCAGTTTGGTGGTGGAGTGTCTTATAAATGTCTGTTAAGTCCATTTGGTTAGAGTTTGGTTTAAGTCCATTGTTTCTTTCTTTGTTTTCTGCTTTGATAATTTGTCAGGCTCTGACAGAGAGATGTGGAGGTACTTACAAATTATGATGGTGCTATTTATTTCTCTGATTTAGCTCATTACCTTTGTTGGCTTAAAGTCAATTTTATCTGACATGAGCATGGCTTTCTTTTGATTTCCATTTGCATGGAATATGTTTTTTTTTTTTT